CCCTGCTGTGGGATCTGACAGTTTGGAGCTATAGAGCTTCAGGGTGTGATCTTTTCAACATGCCCCTTCCCGCCACACTCGTCTCCTGGAGTTCTCACAGTCTGAGGCATCAGGAATGCCAGAAATCAAAAGAACCAATCTCTAGTGCCTTCTGTGCCTATCACCCAGTAGCCTCTGGGCATACTGATGCTCATTTACATTCTTATTTTTTTTTTAATTGAAATTCTATGTTGGAAAAATCTAGCTTGTGGCCATCCATGTCCCTAAGTGCACAGGTCTAGTTATCTATCACCTACTTTAAGATGATGAAGTTGAGAGTTCCTGGGGAGAAAAATAAACCATTAGCAGTTGATCTATTTGGGAAGCACAGATTCTCCCACTCTCCCCAACTGGTTTGCCAGAAGTAATTATTTCCCCTGAGTTTCATTCGCATCAGTCAGGACACCAGCATTTATGAGTGTAATAAATTGGCAGTGGCTGCAAATAAAGGAGCTGGAACTGTAGATTCCTTGGGACAGAACACTCAGAAACCCATTGCCTAGGGGTTTGGAAGTGTCCCTGTTTTCAACCAGGAAAGAGCAGGGTTCCCATAAGCCTTGACTTGAGGAGTGGGTTCCAGAGCAACTGCACCCATCCTGGCTATGGAGGCTCCTGCCAGCCCTCTCGTGGGGACTTAGGGCGCCTGGGCAGAGCCTTGCCACCTCTCAGCTCAGCACTCAGGCTCATGCTGTGTGTCCAGGCTTCAGTTGGTTCCATACACAGAGTAGCTAGGGACACATGGCTGCTGAGGAAACACTGATATTTTTAAAGACCATAGGTGAGTGGTCTTAATAGATACAGGAAGGGCACTTCCTGGAAGATGCTTGTGCGCTACGGCCATGCTGCAGGCCTCAGAAGGGAATGTCCATGGCACCTTGTAAAGTCATCTGCTCTAGACAGAATTACTTACCCAGTCCCTGGCTCAACAAAGGCTAGTGTTGTTTGAACAGAAACAGAATGAATTCTGGAAAGTACCTGGAGATCAGTGTGAGAATGCTGAAGCCCCTGCCCACCATCACCCCTTCCCTTCTTTAATCCCACCGAAGGTACAACACCTCCAGGCAGCTGAGCTGAAGCTAGGCGAGGACAGCAGGATAGAGCATTCCACACACTCCAGAGCTCCCTGCAGGCCAGTGTCCTGGGGATGGGCTGATGTGGCCGCCCAGGAAGGTTTCAGAAGCCCCCAGGGAGAGGTAGACACAAATGAGAGTAATATTGTGGCTGCTGGGTCTCTTGCTTCTTGGTTTTTCTGAAGTGGCAGGTGATATCAGTGGAATGTAACATAATAGCTGTCTTTAGCAAGTTGAAAGTCAAACCTTGTAAAGAGAATACTCCTCACAAACAGCTGTCCTGGGCCCTCACCCTTTGGTTAGCACTTTCATCTTGGGCGCTCTTGCTTGCCACCAGTTCCTCCTTCACCTGTCCAATGCGGCTAACCAGGTCTGCCTTGTGACTAGCTGGGCCTTCCCAGGAAACCCAGAAGGGGCTGGGACAAGGGCATGGACACAAGGCCTCCTCACTAGCACTGGGCATAGGCCAGCGCCCAGGCTGCACCCTGCTGGTGCAGCTGCACACACAGGAACAGGTCATAACTGTTCCACCTCTTCTTTTCCTTCCTACAGGAAGACTGCATCGCTAGGTACAAGCTGCTGGTTGAACTGGTCCAAAAGAAAAAACAAGCTAAAAGCTGAATGTTCTGGAAGATGATATTTGCGTTCATTTTCCAAAATGAGTATTTCAAAAATCTTATGCAAAAATTTGCATTTTGTACCTCAGTATTTCTATACGTCACGTGCCTTAGTAAAAAATAAATAAATAAATAATAGATGTTGTGCTGCATTGTTTAAACAAATCCTGTGTTAAGGGGATAAAAGAGTTTGGGTATTTAACAGATTATTTCTCCTCCCTGCAAAGTTTACTTTTGGGGGAATGTTTCAAAAACTATGTTTTAACAACCAGCTATACATGTTGTTAAAGGAACATACACATGAACTAATATGTAAGAATTCAAATTTAATGTGTTTCTCTAAAAGGCATACATTTAAACCAGGTGCATGACTGTAATCCCAGCAGCTTAGGAGGCTGAGGTGGAGGATCGCAAGTTTAAGGCCAGCCTCAGCAACTTAGTAAGACCCTAAGCAACTTAGTGAGACCCTGTCTCAAAATGAAAAATAAGGGCTGGGGAGGTGGCTCAAGGGTAAAGTGCCCCTGGGTGTGATCTCCAGTACCAAAAAAAATGTGTGTGTGTGTGTGTGTGTGTATAAAATGCATAACAATTAACGTCTTCATTGGGGTTGAGTAACAGGATGAAGTTGCTTAGAGATAAACCAGCTGGCTGGCTAAGAATAACAGGAGGTTCTCTTAATTAGTTATGTATATCTAGGGGGTAAAAAGTGTCTAAATGAGCGAAGGACATAGGACATCAGGTGGTAAAGTCAGAAGTGTGGGCTGCTTGGTAGAAATGTGGCCCCAACTAATTGAATTGCCAAGGAACATGCAGAAAAGTATTAGGAACTGATGGAACTGGGTCCTGTTTTTATAAGACCTGAGTTAAAGTGACTGTTTTGTACTGTCAGCCTCAGTGGAGGCTGGTCTCATTGTTCATAATTGAGCTGGCGCTGTCTTCTGAGCCTCCCTTTTGAAATCTGTCACCATCTGCTAGTGCTGGACAGAGTGTGGTCACTGCAGCCTGAGCTTGGAAAACACAAAGGTGACCAGGGCACATTCCAGGGAAATGACTTGATAAGATACCTATAAAGGTGTCACTCTTCCCTAAGGATTAAAATGAGGCTACAGCTTTCTAAAGGAAACATTGGGAGACAGAGGTCACCACTGCACTGAGTGAGTATTCACAAGAGGATATGGAGCCAGGTAAGCCAACCCTGAGCCCCTCCCCAAAAGCAGATGACAAGAGAGGCCTCTGGTGTCAGCTGACCTGGGTGCCACACAGCTCTGAGTAGAAGTTGTGGGGAACTCACACTTCAGAGGCCAAGTTTCCTAGTCCCCAAAAGAGCAGGTGACCAGCTCTGTTTTGCTTTTCACTGGACACCTGAGTTATGAGGAAGCTTCCTTCAGCCTCAGCGTCCTGGGGAAGAGAGGCTGTGTCCGCCTGGCCAGGAGGGGAAAGGGGACAGGACCTTGGCACTCATAGTGCTCACCTGCCCTCTTCCCAGCAACAAACCAGGGCCTTGAGTCCTGGGGAGGGCTCCAGGTGGTGCTCTCACAGGGCCACCCCCCCCTCCCTTATCTAGGGCAGCTTCAGAGAATAAAATTAGTACACGGGGAGGAACAAAGGAGAGAATGTCCTGGCTATGTTCCAGGCCTGGGTCCCTCTGGTCCAATCTCAGACCTATCATGCAGCTTGTGACATCCTGTGAACATCCTGCCATTAGATCACCCTTTTTATTTAAAGCATCTTAAACTGGATTTCTGCTACACACACACACACACACACATTCCACCTTGGAATCTCCAAACTTGCTTGTCACCTTTTCTCAACTCCTTGGGAATCTAAGGCATGGTCTCTTCAGAGGCCTGCCTCTGACTTCCAGGCCAGCAGCATTCTCCATGGCTCCCCCTCTTCTGGGGACTGCAGGAGTTGAGGGGTTTGATTGAAGGAGGACCAGTGGGGAGACATGCATGGGTTCCTGGCTCTCAGAGGCCAATGAGAGGGCAACACACACAAGGCTGTGGTCCAGTGAAGCCACCTCCAAAAAGGACCTAAAACATACACAGCCTGGGGACCAAAGCCTAGGCACCAGCTATGCTCACTGACAGCCCTGACTGCCCAACCTAGACAGCATACTGGGGCCTTCCTGCATCTTTCCACCTCTGTCCTCCCTTCAGAAGCATCCGGGTTCCCTGCACTCCCCAGCTGCTGTGCAAGTGGCCTTTGCCTGCTTTTTTATTCTGCCTCAGCAAGGACATCAGGCAAGCACTCTGCCACTGAGCTATACCCCCTGCCCTTTTTTCTTGAAAGAAGGGGAGAGATGGCGAGCACTGCCATGTGAATGTCTGTTTGTCTGTCTTGCTCTGCCTGACTACACAGGAAGGCAGAAGGTCCCAGGTTGCAGGGTGGGGATTCCAGTTCTGCAGCACCCTCCAGGGACCTGCAGCTTCTTCGGAGTATGGTCTTCAGAGTCTGTAGGACATTCTTGGTTATATTCTCAACAAAGCCATTACTAAGTCTTTGGGGGTGAATTTGATACTTGCAAACAGCCAAAGATCCCTGGAGGACAGTCACTGTGCTGCATGGAACAGCACTTTGGGAAGCGTCCCCAGAACAAGGCGCCATCTCCAGGCCTGAGCCTCAGAGAGGCCATGTGTCTTGTTCCTTTGCTGTCCTGCTGTGTGTGGCATATGTGTAGTCAGACCCTGCTGGAGGTTGGGAGGTGGGGGTGCTGGCTTCCCAATGTGTGCTGAGCTATGTGACATCAAGATTGTCGTCTTAATTCTTAAACAGAGAATAATGGTAGTTGCTCTAGTTGTTGGGTGATGAATTAATTGTGAAATCTTGAACACACTACTCAGCTGGTCAAAAGCAATAGATATTAGGTTTCTTTCTGACTGTCCAAGCCTCCATTACCATCATCTCTGTGTGACTGTGCTTACCGTCACCAGAGCTGATGGGCCAGCATCAGGTTCCCTCCATTATCATTCCTAGCCTCCAGGCCCAGGGCCCATCTTGGGTCCCTATGTGGACTCACCAGCTCTGCGGAATCTTCCTGTGTCTTCAATTGTCATTCTCAGGGAGAGGGTCTAATCATCCACCAGGCGCCCCACTGGTCTCACCCAAAAAGGCCAACGCCTGTGCTGTAATGATCATTCTGAGGCAGCCAGGAGGCCAGGATGGACCAAGAAGAAACCGAGGCTGCACCTCAGTTCAGACCTCAGCTGGGCAACTGATGACCTGGGGCCTGGACAAATTAGTTTAGCTTCTCTCTGAAGTTTGTTTTTGGTAAGTAAAATGCAAGTGCTAATGTCTGATGACCAACTCGAGCCTAGTGAGGAAGGTGTTGGGATCAAGTTGTGCCAGATGGTTGGATTCAGGTTTGGAAAAGGCATGTGGTTCCTAGGGAGAAGGGGGCTTGGCACCTGAGGAGATGGGGGCAAGGCCTGAGGCATGGGGTCTATCCCATCCAGAGTCTCCACTAGGACCCAGCCGGGCTGAGAGCAGCAGATGGCAGATGTCTGTTTCTGTTGAGTTGTTTGGACAAAGCACTGGGCAGGCCCTGGGCACTGGCTCCCTCCCTCTACGAATACTGTGCCTGCTGCCCAGGCATCTGCTCCTGCCCACCTCTGAACAGCCAGGCCAGTGGCTCTGAGAGGGAACCCTGCCCTGGGATCTCTGTCTTCATCTTCTCGAGTCTTATGCTTTAATGATTTAAATGTACTTTCCCTATTAAGGGCCCAAATCTTAGCACTACCGTTTCTTTAAACCCCTGATAGCACCAGTTCTTAAAACCCACTCATCTCATTTGTTCTCATAAGACCCGTGCGGTCAGGCCAAGCTGGGTTCTCTCCCAGCTGTGCCTTAGAATGCTCTGTCAGGGGACGGGGTGGGGAGTGGGCATGAGGGAAGCAAATTGCTTAGATTTTCAGCAGATCATCCGATTCTTCTGTGAAATTTGCCTTGGGAACGATGCAGACTTCCTGCGCGCCTTTCTCTCTTTGATGGCTCCAGGTGGGCCTGGGGCCTGTGGCCCTCTGCGCCGCTAGGGCGCTTTCAACTAGAAGCCTGCAGCCAATGGCTTTACTCTTCTACTACTGTTTGCAAACTCCCGTCTCCATTTGAAAATCAAATCTTTAAACTTTCCACTGGAAAAGTTTATGGATGCCTTATAAAGTTCCTCTTGCTGGACTTTACCTTGACATGTGCCACCCCATTCCCAAGACCCCTCCAATATAGAGAGCTGAGGAACTGTAACAGGCGTCTATCCCTGCTCAAGTTGTCAAGATATTTGCTGTAGTTATCTGTTTTAGCAGACAGGCTTTATACTGAAATTAAAATGGTGACGTGTAAACCGTGATGTTCTGTATACACAGGGAGTCCATGTGTCCCACACTGCCCAGGACAGTCTCAGTTCAGACCCAGCTCGGGCCATTCAGTTACCTGGCCACCCTGGGAATGGGATATTGCTAACACATGGCCACTCCCAGATGCCTGCAGATCCTGGAGGAATTCCCCAGAGGAAGAATGGTGGAGAGACTTCAGTGTGTTTTGGTTTAGGAAGCTCAGGAGGGGCGGTGGTGTGCCAAGCTGACCCCCAGACCCCCACAGGCCCTCCACTGCCACCACACCACCCAGGTGGTCTTGGGCCTTTTAAGATCAGGACTTGTCCCTGGTGGACAAGGTGAGGCAAGGCTTCGGATGAGAATGATGTGACTGCGGTGGCTTCACCTGTCGAGGTTGGGAAGATGGCTATTTCATCCTAAATTTTAAGGCCCCATCACCACCCCAGTTAAGGTCCTAATAAGCAAAGCCAACTTCATTAGCATGTGTGACTTCCCTTCTGAGTCTGCAGACACAGGTGCTATGCCAAGTCAGGGTCAGCTTGGGTGGTGGCTTCACAGACCAAACCCAAGGTTGTCAGATGAGTGGCCTCTGAACTGTGTTGGCCCTTCAGGTGACTGCAGCCTCCCTGGGCCATTTGCAAGGATTGGGGAGGCTCACCAAAGTCCTCTGCAGGTTGTAAAGGTGGTCTAGGGTGGCACAGGGCTGAGGTCTAGGCGGGGACTGGTCTTTCTAGTCATAGCAGCTGTCAGTAGTGCCTGTCCTCCCTGCCATATGGCTCTGCCCTCTCCTGTGTGGGTGACCTGTTGGCTGCAACCT